ACAGATGTTGTATTATGTTAATTCTTTTAATTTTGGATATAAAAAGAGTCTAAACTCACCAAAATAATGTGTAAATGTGGAGACTCGCACAAGCACTGACCTGTCACATATGATAATTTTTTGCTGGTAAGATTCCCAACAAAGTCAGTTTAATTTTTGTAAAAAATTCACACCAAGTTAGTAAAATTGATTTCTCTAAACCACATTTATTAAAGGATCACATTCATCTGAAATTTCTTATAATCTGTTTTTAACTATTAATAATTTTCACAATTTGTTTTCTCCACTGATGTAAAACATACCCTTCTCATTTGTCACTCATACTCATTTAACAAATTCATTAATGAATTCTGTCACATGCACATTTATTCATTTAACTAATTTTATTTTTTACCAAACCTCTAATAACACAAATAGGACACTCTGTTAGATGCTATAGGAGATACATATTATTTTTCCCTCAAAAAACATGTAACTAGGCTTGGTGTTGTGGCTTACACCTGCAATCCTATCACTTTGAGAGGCTGAGGTGAGAGGATTGCTTGAGGCCAAGAGTTAGAGACCAGCCTAAGCAATATAGAGAGACCCAGACTCTACAAAAAGTAGAGAAAATTAGCTAGGTGTAGTGGCAAAGCATATGCCTGTAGTCCCAGCTACTAGAAAGCCCAAGACAGGAGGTTTGCTTGATCCTAGGAATTTGAGATTGCAAGGAGCCATGATGATGCCAATGCACTCTAGCCTGGGCAAAAGAGTACGACCTTGCCCCACCCCTTCCCCGCCAAAAGCAAAAAAATTGAAAAATACTTGCAAATAGTTCTTTTCATATCAGAACTGTTTACACCAGAACTGAATAATCATATCTGATACTGATGCTGGTGATATTTCAGAGACGTGTACAGTAAATGTTGATTTCTCCAAATTAAAGATTTTGGAGAATGAAGAAGAGTTGAATAGTATAAGGATGAGCTAGGGGATTCCAAAGAGGAAAACAGTGTGAAAGGAACACAGAGGAGGCCTGCATACATACACACAGAGAGAATAGCCAGAGTATTATGACTGGAGAGGGGGGCTTCAAAGAGGAGAGGAGAAAGAGACTTGGGAGCCAATAAAATCACCATCCAACTTATTCTGGGGAACAGAATTAATTATAAGTGAAGACCTCAACGATGAAGAGTTATTATCCATTTTGCAGTGTACAAGTGAAGTATGTAGAAAAGTTTCCAGCAGAGAGAATGCCACATGCTAAATCCAAAGAACACAGAAAATATTAATTATTGTAAGGTATTACAAGAAGTTCAATCTGTTTAAATGGTAAGGTTTTTATGCAATGGCAAAGGGGAAGAAAAGACAATGGTTGGGATTGAGAAAGATGAGTCTTGGGAGGTTGGTTAGCTCAGTTAAAATCTGGAGGTTATATTTTTTTTTATCATATTGAAAAGGTTCAATTTTACTCTGGAAGCACTGGGAGCCAGGGGAGGGAAGAGCCAGGCCGGAATTATATGGTGGGTCACACTAAGCTGTAATGGGGACTCTCTAAAGGAGAAGGCACAACTGGAGGCAGAAAAGAACAATTATTATTCAGATGATAAACAGTAATCAAGTGGTCTCTGGTGGCTTTGGAATGGAAAGAAGTAAGTAGGTGAGTGGCACAATAAAGAGAAAGACCTCATAAGTGTCTCTGTGTGAACAGAGGGCATATTTCCACTTTGGGAATCCCTACCCCATGTTATATTAGGCATACTAAAATACACTTATAGACCCATTAAATTTCATGTGTAATTACAATAAATAAATGAAAGTAGAATTTTCTAATTAATTTCTTATAAGAGCCATTATTCATTTTTTCTTACGATTTAAACTAAATAGGCTTGTTTATATATTATGATTTTTATATCTATGTAAGAATTTCATTTGGCAATTGGTTAGTCATCATAACATGATTTATGGACAATTTATTAAACAGTTATTAATCTTAATTCTCTATATGTATATGTTTCCCTATATGTATATGTAAATTTTATATATAATTTCTAACATTTTCAGAAGACCTCCAAAATCTTTTTGGTCCTAGATGCAGTACCTTACATAAAAAATTGCCTTGGACGGTGGCAACACTCACTAGCATCTCAGGAATCACAAACAGAAAGAACAAATTCCAAGTGGATCCCGCCATATACTTTGTAAGTTTCATATACTGAAGTTCTAAATTAATTGTTGAAATGATTTAGAATACCTTTGAGAGTGTTTTAGATCATGGACTAACCCTGCTGACCTCTTTGAGTAGATGTTGGTAGTGAACTGAATGAAAAAAAATAAATTAAAAAGTGAAGTGAGAAATTTGTTTTTTCCACTCAGACCCCCCTCATAAACACAGTCATTTGTGTTCTTAGGAAAGAAGGAAAAGAACACAGCTGCTGCTGTATCTCAGGCCAGCCCAGGCCACTCTGTGGAGCTATTTCAGTAATAAAAGGACGCAGCATGCTGCAGAAGGGCAGGTGCTAAGCTGACGTCAGGCCTTCCTCAGGGCCAGTCTTCAGCACGCACATATTCATCTGCTCATGAAAAGTGCACCCCATGAATCCTCACTGACATGTCATGGCAACAGCGCTGACTTCAACTTTCTTCTTGACCAGTTGCCATTTCTATAGAAACTGGATTCTTCTTGCTGCTTTATAATTGCCAGCTAAGCCTTCTCATGGAGAAGAATCAGGGGCCAAAAGGCAAGGGAATTTATGATGCTACATTAGTGAAATTAATGTAAGCCAAAGCTCTAGATTTTCTAAAAAAATTAAACAAGGAATTTTCTTGAAAAATATTGTTTCTCAATTTTGTTTTCAATTACCAATTTAGTGTATAGAATGCTCAGAATCAAATTTACTTCTATTTAACATTAGATATTTTTGAGCTGAGTAATTTGACATGAATCTGTCATGCAGACAATGGAATTTAATGTTTGGCTTTTATATATTTTTGCCTGATCATCACTTTTTAGAAGAAAAGAATGAAAGCTATGAGCAGGTTAGGAGGGGCAAAGAAGAAAAGAAAAATAAAAAGTAATGGAGAGGAAAAAAAACCACAGAGACAGTAAAAGAAAACTCCATGACAAAATGTGAAAATTATTTTTCCTGTTTCTCTCTTCCATGAATAGTAAGTTCAAACTTTTTTTTTTTTAATTTTCATTTAATGATATGGTGCTTCTACCCCAAATTAACTTCTCTTGGTGAATTTAAAAGTACAGACGGGGCGCAGTGGCTCACGCCTGTAATCCTAGCACTCTGGGAGGCCGAGGCAGGCGGATTGTTCGAGGTCAGGAGTTTGAAACCAGTCTGAGCAACAGCGAGACACCATCTCTATTATAAATAGAAAGAAATTAATTGACCAACTAATACATATATAGAAAAAATTAGCTGGGCATGGTGGCGCATGCCTGTAGTCCCAGCTACTTGGGAGGCTGAGGCAGCAGGATTGCTTGAGCCCAGGAGTTTGAGGTTGCTGTGAGCTAGGCTGACGCCATGGCACTCACCCTAGCCTGGGCAACAAAGCGAGACTCTGTCTCAAAAAAAAAAAGGAAGAAGAAGAAGAAAGAACAATCCCCAGATTAAGGAGTTCAGTTCCTTTCTTGTCTTTAAAGAAAAAAAAATCATTCTACATTATTTAGTTCAATCCTATAGATTATACATCATGTCCATCACTCTAGTCAAAGCTAGTTTTACTGGGGACCCACATACACCAGGCACCCCACTCTCTCATTTTATAAAAGACTAGTCTGTATCATCTGTTCTGGGAAAACTTTCTCTCTAGCTTCTAGAATTTGATCAGCCAATGTGGTCGCCATAAAAACCAGCTCTGTAATAAACAGCAATTTGTTTGCTCCTCCCTTATGTTTTTATTTCATCTCCAGAGAGGGATTACCAATTGTCTTTGAACTTCAGACTGGTAATGTGGTCCCAGAGTAATGGAAAATCCTGCACCCCAATCTAGGCAAATAGGCAAATAGTTGACATTATATGAATGTGTACCAATTGGTTTCTGTAGCCTTTTAAGAGAGCTCATCACATGTCAGACCTGGCTAAGATTGAGAATATGGTGAAGATGTATTTGAATCCATTCTCTAGGGAAGCTCCCAGTCAAGTGGAGGCGATGGAGTTGTGAACTGATGAATTCAGGAAGATGTGATAAGTTCTATGAAGCAAGGATTCTGAGGACATAAAGATGAGTAATTAATTTTGCTCAGTATGACCATATCAATGGCAATTGAATATGAATCTGGGTTCTAAAGAGTAAATAAGAGTTTATTAGGATAAACATTAGGGAAGAGGTCAGGAAAATTCCAGTTAGAAGTAATATCACAGAAATCATAAATAGTTTCCCCAACATTTAGCACAGTTATTTACTATGTAAATAGTATTTACTAGTTAATAATAGTTTCATTTTGATTAATAGAATTCTTTATATTGGCTTTGAAAATCTAGATTCATATTTGCCTGTAGCCTACAAGGAGAACTGAAGTCCTTTTACTTTGTATTTAATGTGTTACCTTAAATAAAAGCTGAGATGATTCAGTTATCATAAAGAGAAATATGCCAAATATTCAATTTTATCCATGTTGGTGATGTAAACCTCAGAGTATCTTAAGCCTCTAATATTCCCTGCTGGTCTATTCCAATTAACATGAGGACTGTGTTTGAAGGACAAAGTTTAGTCTACAAAGGCACTGCCTGAAGTAATAGCTCAGACATCTTGCTTGATTTCCTTTATGAAAATAAAAGACTCATACCCAAGTGGGAAGGAAAGTACTGTCCTAATCATCTATTTAGCTGTAAATACATGTATTTGATTCTAAATTCTAATTACATTGGAATTTTCCCTTCATTTTTCCTAAGTGTACCTACCACATGAAATTTCACTAACATTTTGGAAACAGATTTACATCCAATTAGATTCTACAGATGCTTAATGAATGCTTAATGTTTTATATACATACCATGCTAGATACCAGGGATATAAGCAGTGAACAAGACAAATGCCAACAGGCAATTGCAGAGTCTTCTGTCTGATGTGAAAAAGGTGGAAATACAGAAATAGACAATCACAGCTCTGATCAAAGGACCAAAATGGTTCACTATCGCTTGGTAAAGTCCCATTCAAATTTAGTATCATGACCTATAAGACATTATATAATCTGCTCCTACATAATTCTCCTTTCTCATTGCCTACTACTCTCTTCTTCCCCCACTTAGCTTTAGAAACATAGGCCTCCATGCTCATCTTTAAAAGTATCAAGCTTTTTATTTGTTGTTCTCTGGCAAGGAGATCTTCAGTAATTTTCTAAATTCACTCAAAAGTATATGCAAATGTTACCTTTAGAGAGCTTATTCCTGACCATACTGTTTAAAATAGATTTCATTTACCTTCTATCATGATCTGTCTTTGTAGCTCATATCACTTCCTGAAGTAATATTATGACCACTTACATGTACACATACACAAATATATTACTTTAAATATCTCTCTCTCTTCTAGAAAGGAAAGGGAATTTGACTTTCTTACTCTCTTGTCTACAATCATATCTCCAGTTTCTTGGACAATGTCTTGCACTTAATAACTACACCCTGTTTTTGTTGGAGGCGGTTCATGTATGCAGAGTGATATGAAAGGGGAAGAAATATTTTTTGAGTGTCTTCTTAGCTTTAGAAATTTGCATATTTCATCCATCATAAATTTTCATTTTCTTTCTCGCCTTCTCCACTTTGATATTTCTAATAGAATGATCATGGTGGATAACTGATTCTGAAGCTCAAATTTTGTCAATTGAAATAGTGTACTTCCTTTGTCTGAATATTACCAATATTTCATACTGACATACTGGTTTCCACCCACAGTCACGATAGCATCCCTACTCCTCATAATTCTAAAAGCAAATTACCTTTTTTGAAAAATACCTATTTTAAGTTGAAACAATCAACTTGTTTATTTTTTAAGGTTCATTGCTTTTGGGGAACCCTCTACCATCAATACAAATGCTTTAATTAAAGGTTTTATTCTCTGTCTCCATTCTCAAGGAAGGAAATACTTTAATTTGTTCCTAACATTTTTCTTCAGTTTCAGTGTCAGTAACAACATCATCCTCATAGCTCACTACCTGTGCTTTATTTTGGCTAAGGCTCTTGTTCTTTTACATTTAAATTTAACTCCAAACATAAATGGAATTATTCAAGCTCAATAGACCCTAAAAATTGTTTTATCAGTTTTACAGAAGATTTGCTTCCTAATTACTATTTAAAATAATATATACTTAGCTATTTTTATACTCATATATTCACTACCTGTATATGCAGTTGAATAAAAACAGACCCACAGAGTCAGGCAAAATTGTATCTGCAAATCATTGCAATAAATTGGATGTTTATTCACAGAAACATCTAACTGATGATCACTTGCTGGCAAGATTGGACAAGTTTCAAAGTGACTCCAAAGGAGATCTAAGCATATTGGTAAAAAGAAAATTTCCACAGAACATAATCAAGAGATTTGTGTTTGCTAAGGGAACTATGACCCCATCACAAAATGAATTTTCCAACTTTGAGGTAGAGGTGTTGTCATTTATTTACTGTGAAATTAACTGCAAGCCCAGGATCATTTGGTTTTAATGAAAGCGGTGTGAATGTCATTTCTGATCAAACAAATTCAAATGAAAACATTGCAAGTTCATTTGGGTGCTATTCTCCATTTGTCATTTGGGTGCTATTCTCCATTTCTTTCAGAATCCTACCTTAATACTTTATATACTATTGATGGAATTGGAAGTTGGTCTGATCCCTTTGGAGGAAAATTTAGAGACAAAAATGATATCTTTTAAAATACTTGTTTGAGGCATTAGGTACCGACCGTAGCCAACTGAAGCAGATTAGGACTTTATTGGTAGGATACTTTAGAGCTCATAAAACTAAGGGACATTTAATGAACAAATTTAGACAGGGTCAGAAAAAACACTGGGTGGAGACACAGGAGGCAGGAGCCTAAGGCCATCTGTCTCTTAGGGAGTCTGCACTGAAATGAATTAGGCCTAGGCATTTTCAGCTTTGTTGACTAGATTATTCGTTTTCACAATTCAAATAGACCAAATCAAAATATTTGATTGGTCTACCATGGGTGACATATCCGTTATTTTTCCAAGGAGAGCACAGGGATATTTTCACCAGAATGTATTTCAATAGGGGAAAGGTTATTTCCAATCAATCAACAAACAAAACAGACAAAAGGACCCATCACTCTTATCAAAAAGCTTAAAAGTAAATTACCTAATCTCAGACATTTGTCAACATGCTTATGAGATCTTCTCTTTTCTTATAGGGGAAATCAAATATAGACCCAAATTATCAGTGAGTCAAATTATTAGTGAAGTCTGTCTATATTCTTTACATTTCTTCATTTATGCATCTTATGTTTTACAGCCTACCAAAAGCATAACAAATAACAAATTCAGTAACTGAGAGCATAGACTTTGAAGCCAGTCATACCTGTACTTGAATCTCACTTCTTCCACTTCTTATTAGCAATGAGAACTTATTCAAGTTATGTCATTGTTCAGACCTCAGCTTCCACATCTGTAAAGTGGGAATAATAAATTATATTTTAAAAGATTCTTACAGAAATGAAAATCTATATGGAAGTTATATTAATTTTACATTTACCATGAAAATAGGAAGTTTTTACAGAGTTATGTTTTAGAAAATGGATTTAAGGAAAAATATTAAACAAATTATAGAGTGTTTTTATCTTACACAGTTATAAGTGAATCCATGAAAGTGGTATGTAGGTAGCTAAAATGTGGGCAACAATGCTCTAAAATGATAAATAGAGGTTTGAAGAAGATCTGGCTCATTTATAATCCAACATGCAACATAAGATGCTATGGTAATGGGAAAAATCATCCCCTTGTTCAAATGTTCATGAGTAATCTAATTTCTTCTTCTGGGAAGTCACTAGTCTAGCTAGTAACTTGGTTATTATGTTGTGATCCATGGATACCCCTGGTGGTCAGTGAGATCATATACAAAACTTTAAGGGTCTCCATGGGAGTGCTTTTCCTGGAGTGAGGGTCAATAGCTTTCATCAGTTTTTCAGAAAGACATAAGACCTTTACAATACTAAGAAGCACAGAATTAAAATCTCCAGGACCTACCCCAAACAATACCCCTTATTTTATCTTCTTCCTCTTTCCTTCCATTACTTCCCACTTCTGAACAGTTTGAAGTATGAGATGACTGCTTGAAAGGACCTTAGAAATTGGTGGGAGCCAGCCATGTATGTTCCCTTTCTCCCTGTTTCATAAATGAGCATCCCTCTTTGTGTTGGAGATAAAAAAATTAAATTGATTTGGCTAGGGTAAAAATATATGAATAATAATTTAATGTAAAACCTATCAATACTCCCTTATTAGGAGATACAGATAGGGAAACAGAAAATAAAATGACATATTTTAAATCATATATATTATATGGTGGAACAGACTAAGATCACAATATTGAGATGAATTCATTTTTTAAAAATCTACATTATCTTTATATCCAAGACAGAAGTAATGTCTGGTCTTTCTCATAAAACTGCTAACCCTTTCTTTTAGCCCTTACTAACATCAATTGTTGTTGTTTTCATTCCTGGAATGGCAAATAGTTCTCAGGCCAACTCCAATCAGTTGTTTGGATGCATGAGAAGGATTTGGAGGACCTGTGAAGGCTCAGCTGGAAAGAGAACCTTGATAATTAGCCATGTGTGCTGTGCACTCCGACAGGAGAGAATGGTTGGCCTTAGCCTAGATTAGATCTGAGAAACAACTGAGGACTCATGGCACAAAGCTACTTAAATATTAGAAAAAAAAATCATGATCTGGCAAAGTTCCAAAGTTCCACACATTAAAATCCAATCAGGTATGAATGTATAAGCAGGGTTATGACAACCTTTGTTATTTTTACTGTGGTCATAAATGTCTTAGCAAATGTAATATTTAGTTGTAGTAACCTTGCATGTAAGTCAATAAAACTATAGTGATGATCTACTGGATAAAACATTTTGTTCAAATTTCATTATCCAACTAACTATACATAAACTAGGTACCATTGGTTTACAACAGGGGAGTCTACATTGGTACAACAGGTAGCATGGAAAATTTTTGGATGATGACGAACTAAAATGGGCTTCTTTTTTCTCTCTGTTACTCACTCTGTAGCAAGTACTGTTCTTATTTTTCCTTTATAGTAACCCTGTAAATAAGATATTATTATTGTCTTCATTTACAAATGAGAAAATAGCTTCAAAAGCTTCTTGCCTCAAACTATGTGGTAGTTGAATCCAAAGTGATCCCTGCTATATAGCCCATGAGTTTAATCTCTTTATTAGGTTAACTGGAAAGACACTGTTAAACCATCCCTACTCTCTGCAGATTCCCTTTGTTGATAAGAAGAGGCAGACACAGCTAACAACTAACCAGAGGGACTGCTAAGTGGCCATTCAGATAGTTAACTGAGGTAAGAGGAAATGGAGGAGAAAATCTACTTTCTGGCAGAACAAACATAGAACTGTCTGCTCTCTGCTTTCTTAATTTAAAATAATCCTAATAAGGAAGAAATATGCCTCCTTTCTATTATTATTATGAAATGTCAAACTCAGATATGATATAGAGGTGGTAATATGATGTATTAAGAGCATTGGATTAGGAGTCAGGCTGCCTGGCTTCATATATTTGGCTCTAACACTTGCAAAGTGTGTGACGTTAGAGTAGTTATTTGTCCCTCTTTGTTCTTTGGTTCCTGCAATTCAAAAATGTACACGTAATGGTTCCCACCTCATCAGACTATTGTGAGAATTAAAATAATGTATGTAGAACACTCAGAACAGTGCCTGGCATGCAGTAAGTATCATTAAAGTGTTAACTATCATTATCATTATTATAATAATTATTACTCTTATTCAAATTCTAGCCACACTACCAATAATTTAGTTCTGTTTTCAGTATTGCAGCTGGCCATTTTAGACTGCGCTGCCATTAGCACTTGCGTGTGACTGATAACCCCACCGTTAAAAACCTCCCTTTCCTGTATGAAGCCTGGAGGATGCAGCGATGATTGAAACAGATGCTTCCCTTCCCTCAGAAAATTTTCAGCCTTTTTGGGAATACAGGAATTGAGATAAATTAATAATTTGGAGTATTATGAATGTTTTGAAAGGGGAAATATAGTTGCGATGCAGAGTATGACTGGCGTGTTGGGGGTCAGGGAAGGAGCCCTGGGAAGTGGCATTTAAGTTGACACCCGGGTGAAGAGTAAGCTAAGTGAAGAGACGTGATTCTAACAGAGAAGAAGGCATGTGAAAATCTGAAAGGAAGAGGGCACACCAGCTAGGGATTTATGATGGCTTGAGTGCGAACACCAGCTAAGTGTGTATGATGGCTTGAACATAGCCTGTAAGAGGGAGGGTTAAGTGAGGAGAATAAAAAAGCCAAACAATAGGAAAGTTTTGTTTGCCATCTCAGGAGGTTTATATCTTGAGGATCATGGAAAGTTATGGAAGGGTTTTGATCAAGGGAATGATGATCCTTCTGTTACTCACAGAAAGCTTGAATTCAGCCTAGACTTAGATACATCAGCCTGTCACAGATACATCAAGAACTGAAAAGGAAGTTAAATGTTTACTTAAGTCTTATCTTAACTCAGGCTGCTACAACAAAAATATCATAAACTGGGTGGCTTATAAACAATAGATATTTATTTCTTAGAGTCTAGAGGCTGGAAGTCCAAGAACAGTGTGGTCAGGTTCTGATAAGGGCCCTCTTACCGGTTGCAGACTGCTGACTTCTTGTTCCATGCTCACGTGGCAATTGAGCGGAGAAGGGAAGCAAACTCTCTCCTGAATCATGTAAGGATGCTAATCCCATTCATGATGGCTCTACCCTCATGATCTCATCTAATCCTAATCATTTTGAAAAGGCACTACTTTCTAATATCATCACATGGGGGAGATAGTGTCTTAACATATGAGTTTGGGGAGGACACAAATATTCTCTTTAAAAATGCTGATGGGGATTTAATTGAATAAAGCACAGAATATCCTAGAATTTTGTTTTACCATCTATCTCCCCAAAGTCAAAGACATTCCAGAATAGTAGCTACTTTTTCCATTTCTCATGACCCTTTCAAAACCTCTTCTGTCTCCCCATTTAAAAAAAAAAAAACATAGCTCATTTTCTACCTCTCGCCCTCTTTCTTTATTTCACTATTCCTTTCCAAGACAGACTTGGAAATGCATGACCTAGATTGGGCATCAGAAATTCTCCCAAGTTGAGAGGGTGTAGTTAGTGGGCAGTCTACAGCTGTCGGATTATCCAGAGGGGCTGCCTTACCTGAAGAGAGCAACTTCTTTCTGGGTCATGTCTTTCCCAGGACAGCTCACATTTGGTGACTGAGAGAGGTGGGGATATAAAGACGTGACTATTTCAGCCAAAGTGGGACAACTCTGTCTATTCCTATACTCCAAGAGATCCCACCAGGATTGGCTGAGGCTTTGTCAGGCTGCATGGCTGCTGGATTTCTCTCTTCACCCAATCCTACTTTTTCTTCTTCCTTTCATCAATTTTGACCCTAATAAACCTTTTGCAGCCCACAAAGCATCTTTCCAGAGATGACATACATTTCCAGAGAAACAGCCTGCCTACTTTTTGTATCTATTTTGTTCTTCAGAAGATAGCTCTGCCAATTCAGATATAAATGGATCTAGTTTTCCAAACTGAGTCTCCTTTAATTATTTCTCTCTGAACATTGCTCTGATCAAAACAAGAGAGATCCAAGCCTTGGAGCTTGAATAGAAAACCTCTCTCCTTCCATAAGTTCATGGAGCTATGTTTGCTGAAGGCAGTAAAAAAGGTACATTAAGCCTATGACTTATCATATTGTTATTTTCAGTACATGTCACTCTTAGACTCACTGGACCACTTCTTCATGAGGCTGCTCTCCATTCAATGAGATTTCTGGAATTGGGAGAAAGGCATCAGATTGAACACACTCTGCATCAAAGTGTCTGTCATCTGTCTTTAGAAGCAAATATTGTGCCCTCCTTATTCTTGTTTGTGTATTTATAATTAATCATCATAGAATTTGGAGATAAAAGTGGTAGAAATGATGAGAGAAGAAAAGGAAGGACTTTATGAGGTTGATACACATAATCAAGAGTGGAGGGTCATGTGAGGGATGTCTTGTGGGCTGGTTTCATTTTTGGAGGGTGTGCAATGGCAGTGGTGAATGACACGAACAAGGAATGTTGGGCAGGGCAGACTTAGGGAGAAAGAACAGGAGATTTGAGAACTATTGCTGGGAGATATGAACTTAGTCTCCTTTTATGTATGTAAAAAGGTAGGAAAAAGATTGAAGTTCCTTTTTTATCATTTTTGTTGTTGTGGTTTGGACTAGAGTAGTATTTCCAAAACAATAATCTAGAGGCCTTATGTATCAGGATCACCTGGAAGGCTTTAAGTTTAATTCTGTGGCCCCACCTCCAGAGGGGGTGATCAGATTTGGGGCTGGGTCTACAATATTATTTTTCCAAATAAGTATCCCACATGTTTCTGAAAATGGGATCTACAGACTGTATTATTTGAAGTGCTGATTTAGCCCTGAAGTCAGTCTTCAAATTAAGCAAGTTGCACCCTAAAGATACATACACATAGGTTTTCCAGGGTTTATACAGGCATGCATGGTGTTAAGGAAATTCATTCCCAGATACTCAGCTTCTGAATGTAGATTTTCCTTAACGTAATCTTGCCAAAACATCCACTTTTCCAATGTTCCATAACCACCATCCCTTTCAAAATTGCCTTTTACCATGTTCTAATGGAATAATAGTATTTCTTTTGGTTGTGATATATCTTGCCAGGTTGAATTGCCCTTAAGTATAAGTTATCTAGTCACCAAACACAGGGGCAATGCCAAAGTTCATAGTTGGTCAGAAAGACACCTGAGAACAAATGAAAAATCAGTAAGTCAATGAGAAATACTGAAGTTTTACTCCTTTACAGAATCATGGCAAGGCTGTTGCTTTTAGTCATTCGTTTGTTTCTTCGTCTGATTATCTACCTACCTATCTGTCCATTCATCTTTTATCAGTATTAGAATTCTCCAGAGAAATAGAACCCATAGAAAAACATATATACTATTCTATTTATGAATGAATATAGATAGATATAGATATATTTCTGTGTATATATATGTGTGTGTATGTGTATGTGTTTATCTGTACATATATAAATTGGCTTGTGCAATTACGGAGTCTGAGAAGTCCCACAGACCACCATCTGCAAGCTAAAGATCCAGGAAATTCAGTAGTGTAGGTATATGATTCAGTCTGAGGACAGGAGAAGATGAGATGAGAAGTCCTAGCTTAAGTGGGGAGGCAAGAAGAAAAAGGAATGAAGTCATTTTTCCTCTGCCTTTTGCCTTATTCAGTCCCTCAGTGGACAAGCACATTGGAGAGGGCGATCTGCTCTACTGGGTCTACCTGTTCATATGCTAATCTCATCCAGAAACACCCTCAACAGACAAACACAGAAAAAATGTTTGATGTAGGCACCCCATGGCCTATTCAAGTTGACACATAAAATTAATCATCACAGTAAAAATTTAATTAAAATGCAAATCTAAAATCTAGAATTAGATTAACATTTTAATTTTAAATCTAAATCTAAAATTTTAATTAAAAGTATGTATTAAAAAGCCAATTTACTGTAAACAATTAACTAGAAAACACATTTTAAAACTATTAAACATGGGATGAAAAATCTTAAGTGACAACTTAAAATATGCAAGGAGTTAAATAATTCAAATATTATTTTAGTAAATATAGAAGGATATATATGTGTATACATGCCTACACACATACATATTTATCAGTACAAAAATTTTCCTCCATTACCAAAAAAATCCAAGCTATAGCAGTCCAGACTAGCAAAAATTTCTGCTCTATTTAGTTATTTGGAAACTTTGTTTTTTTTGAAATAGACTTTGCTTCGCTATCCTCTACTGCTTTGTCTTCATGTGCTCAGTATATAGCTGGGTCCTTGCTACATTCAAATGAAGAATGGACACATTATCTAAAGGCTCTGACTTTCTCATGTCTGCCCAAATTTCTCTGGAAGACACTTGGCCATACTTAATTGCAAGGAGGAGCAGGAAATAGAGTTTCTAAATAGATTGCTACATTCACAGCTACAAATACAAATCAATGGAAGAGAGAACAGATTTCTAGAACACACTGTGTCTTTGCTACATCAAGTATATTTTATTAATACATTTTATGAGATAATCATTACCTAGTCAGATTATTTGTAACACATTGCTGAATTCTATTTATTAGTGTTTTATTTATGCATTTCATAATGTTAAGTAACATTGCCCTATAATTTTTCTTTTTCATACCATGCTTGTCTAGTTGACATAAAGACTATTATAATTTCATGAACAAGCTAGAATATTCCTTTTTGCATATTAAAAGGAAAGACAATTTTTAAAAGATAAATATAATTTGTTCTTAGATTTGATAAAACTTTCCTATAAAACCTCTGCATATAATTTTTAAATTAATTTTGCAAATTATTCCATTATTTTAATGCTAATCTGTGATATTTGGGTTGTTCATTACCCCTGAAATAAGGTTTGGTAAATTATAAAATTTCCTAGGAAATTTGGTATTTTGTTAACATTTTCAAATATATTAGAATAACATTCATTATTGATGATATTTGCTTGTGATTTGTAAGATGTTTACTTATTTTAATACAAGCCCTGGATCTAGTCTAGCTCACAGAGTAAGTGGCTCTTCCCCTTTGCCTGTAAGACCCGGTGAGTGTAATGATTCTGAAAATGTTGGTGGCAGCTGTGGATGCTCTATAGACCCTGTGTTTAGTTCCAGTAAGAAAACACAATGCAGACTCATCAGCACTGAAGCAAAGCCATCACTTCTCCTGCCAGTATCTGTTGCAAAACAGCTTCTGGCTTGCCACTGGATTTTGGTACTGTGGATTCCTCACTGTGCAACCTCGGTGACTATGCAACCTGAGCTGCCTATCGTAACTAATAAGCCATAAGGTGAAAAGTCACAGTAGAACTTTATCATCCAGTTGGAGTGGTTTATTCAAAATGGGATTTGATCATGTCTTTATGGCATGCATAAGTTGCATGGCTCTGTGACACAGATCTGCTTCCCAACAGGACCCTCATTTAAAATCTGTCAGTGAGAGGTACTCAAATGAGGCCTGGATGACAAAAGACAAGGGAGCGGCTCCTTCTCCATCCATAAGGATAGATACATGGACTTCTCAGCATTCTCCTGTGAATCGTTACCCCCATCAGTGCCGTAGGTAGTTGAATTCATTGATGAAAGTTTCATTTCTGTGAGAATCCACAGAAAAGCTCTAATAAGAAAAAATCACAAGTATTCAACCTGATCTAGGTGTTTTTAGGAGTTGATTGTTTACAGCTGTTTATAGATTGTTTACAGATACGGCCTTTTGTATCCACCAGTTTCATATCTGTGAATTCAACCAACTGCAGAACAAACAAATTGAGGGGGTGGGGGTAGGGGAAGTATAATTATGCCTATACTGAACATGCATAGACTTTTTTTTATTCTCATTGGTCTCTAAACATACAGGATAACAATTCTTTACGTAGCATTTACATTGTATTAGGTATTATAAGTAATCTAGAGATAATTTTAAATACATGGGAGAATGTGTGTAGGTTGTATGAAAATACTACACCACTTTATATAAGGGACTTGAGTGTCCATGGATTTTGGTATCCACAGGCCAAGGGTCCTGTATCCAAACCCGCATGGATAAGGAGGGACGACTATACGTTCTTCCCATTGTTTTCATCAGCATAGCTGCATGCATCAATAATAGCTCACTGATAGAGTTATAACTGTTTATTATAGTATAATATGCGTTGATAATTTTCTTATCCTGGGGTGCTTCAGGGTGGATGTGAGTTTACTACCTATTCTTGAGCATGGCTATGACTTCTGTTTCGGTTGAAGTAGAGTCCTTGGAGATTACATCCACATTTCAGTATCCTTTTAAAGAGTTCCTGGCATGATCCGCAGATATTGGCGACAGAATGCATTGACCACAAGCCATTCCATGTTGAGTTGACTGGCAATGACATCCAGCAGGAGCAATAGCAATGTTCTAAGCAGAGTTGAGTGGCTGCATGCATGCTATGGTTGGAACGTGGGGCCTGAGGAATAGCTGGAGTGTGGAGTGCTCTGCTGGCAGCAAGGAGAGCTGATCATTGAGCTCCTTTTATCTGCGTCTGTCTGGTTTGTCACAGGGAATCCATAGCTCTGGACCTCACAAGGAAATGTGGAAATCGCTGTCCTAGACAATTTCTGCTGGATATCTC